GAAATAAATATGCATTGGGAAAAAGGAACATTTATGACAAAAAAAGTAAATATGTGTGAGACGCAAGATAAATAGGAAAGTGCAGGAGTTAAGCTGGCTGTCTCTGAGTTATTTGAGTTACAGCTAGAAAGTTCTTTGTTTATCTCCCAGTAAAATATCTAAGTTTCTGTAGGACCGTGGTAGCAAATACTGCAAAAGTGGCAAATAAAACCTAAAAGTTACAGTCTTAGGGAAGTTTCGTGACAAAGCCATTTACTACCCTTGCTTTCTTGACCCTTTTTTTTTCTTTTTTTATTTTATTACATGTAATGAAACAATCTTTTCTGGGTTTCCTTAAAACCTGGAAAATTTAATTTTAATGTATAAGGTCAAGAAATTTAGAAATACTGAGATTTTGGTTCAACAGTAATTAAAATATGACCAAGAAAATTATTCCTTTGGAATTACAGTTGGGTCTTTGAAACTAGTGAAGGAAAAGAACAGTACCTGAATATATAATTTTAGGTTTTTAAAAGATCCTGTCTATTCAGTCATATATACATATGTTAACTATGGGGGAAGGAGAGAAAAAGAAAATCAAGAGCAATGTCATTGTCTAAAGACTAATATTCTGACACTGTCTATTCCAGATCTGTTGCAGAAGCCACAGAGGTTGATCTCAACATGAGAGTTGGATTGCATACAGGCAGGGTGCTTTGTGGGGTCCTGGGACTCCGAAAATGGCAATATGATGTCTGGTCAAATGATGTGACTTTAGCTAATGTAATGGAAGCTGGAGGACTGCCTGGGTGAGTCTGAGAAAGAACCGTAAAAAAAGAAACAGAAACCTGTGTGGGTGAAGAATTTATTTCCTTCTCTGAGGCATTTGCAATGGAATTGCTATCGTTAAGAAGGGTTGTGTTCGATAAGAGCAAGCAACGTATTATGTGATTTATCCTGTGGAATTCTCCAAATGATCTTGATATTTGCATTAGTAATAGGTTAGACTAAAATCAAAACATTTCCAAATGAAATCCTTATTAGAAGCTGCCAAATATAAAGAGTAGGAATGAGGCAATGCTAGGAATGTAAGAATGCTAGACTTCCACCATTTCATGTTATAAAAGTAAAATGCTCTAGTTATCCCAAGAAATTTTTACCCTTGCACCTGTACACATGACCGGTGTGTGCCTTACTCCTTTTACATGGCAAGATTTCCAACACTAGTGGTTGCTATAGAAAAAAAATACCTGTTTATGCACTCAAATATTGATGGTGTGTGTGCAAATGATACAGTAGCACATAAACCTGCTGTCAACCCATGGGGCGCGTCCTGGAATTTTAACTACTCTTTGGATAGCCTTTGACCCAATTTAAATGCACACAGTGTACTTTCGCAAAGGTGCATGGGTGTGCTTCTGTGTGCAGCTCACATTTGGACTGGGACTTAGCATCCTCTGTTGGATTTTTTGCTGAACAGGGGGACAATGGAACCTCTTAATTTTTGTGGTTCAGATGAGTGAATTTCTGTTTGTTACCTATGTCTGCCTTAGACAATTTTGGCAGTGTATTTTGTATGTTCCTTACCTACAGCTTTCCAGCAAAAAAAATCTGAACACATGTTTAATAGAGGAAAGCACTAATAGCTTTTCAGATATCTTCTGTGAAGACATTTCAAATATAAGGGCTCTTTCGGGAGAAAATGTGAAACTCACGAATAGCGTCAAAGATGGCTGTGCTGCCAAAACAAAGTGAATTAGAAAGCTGCCTACAAAACAGAGTGAGTAAATGAAACAAGTCAGAGATGTGAAGGGGAACAGAAAAAGAAGTTTCTCCTTTATGCCCAGGAGAGATTCAGAGTGTGAAGTCACAAGTTTCAAACAGCAGGATGTTTTTCCAAACAGGCAGTGAGGTAAACACTTAAGAAAGCCACACAATGTGGAAAATTATGTGCATACTTTCACTTTCTACAAATCAACAAATCTGCAAGTGTTTAGAGAGTCAACACTGTTCACTCTGCTCAAGTTTAGAAAATGCATGTAATAGAAATATTTCTATGTTCTATTTGGCTGAAAAGACAAAGCAAAACAAGGTTTTTTTACATCAAAAATGGGGTTTTGCACATAATTTGACCTCTTTATGATCTTCTGGACAGGAGTGTGTTTCAGTTCATAAGGTATCTTTGCTTTAAACAGCAATGTCTGATTTTTCTCTCCAGGAAAGTTCACATTACAAAGACCACCTTAGAGTGCCTAAATGGGGACTACGAGGTAGAACCAGGTTATGGTCATGAAAGGAACAGTTTCTTGAAGAAGCATAACATTGAAACATATTTTATTGTGCCATCCCATCGTAGGAAGGTAAGCTCCACAAATTCTAGCTTATTCTGTGATATGTTTTCATAACTTAACAACTGTTCTGTGATATTCTGAAAGCAGAGGCAATACTGGTATTTCTTATTTCTAAAAGCTCTTTAAACACTCTTGAAATTAGATCTTTTGGTTTTGGCTGAAGCAGGGATGCTAAAAAAGTTAACCTTCAACATAGAGAAGATGATCAATTTACTTTTGAAGTTTAAAAATAAACAGTTTTTCCCTTTACTCCCCAAAAAAGAAAACTCTTGTTTTATTCAGATTCTGTAGTCATATTATCAGAAATTATATGATATGTTACTCCAAAAATTTAATTCAGTCTTCCCTTCCTCCTCCCTTCAAAAGGGTGTTTCAGAATATTAATGCTCACAGCTTGGCTATTTTTCTTCTAGTTTTCTTTACTCTTTCATTCCCATATTCCCATGCCATTTTACTCATGCTTTCCTAACGCTTTTTACAACCATTTGTGATACTGGTGGCTCCTTTACTGGGCCTGGAGGTTTCCCCAGTGAATAGAAACAGAAAAAGTAGTATTTACAGACATGTCAGGCCCACAGCAGAAAAGTTAGTGAAAGGAATTCAGCAGTGATTGAACTAACATCCCCTGGAAAAGCTGCCATGTTGCCAAGCTGTACAACACAAGCCCTTTTATCCAGGTCAGAGGAAGAGGCTGGAGTCAACCATACTGTTTTTGAATGTATATACCAGCGTACCACAGATCAGGTATTTATGCTGAAGCTGAGTAAGTTTTCTAAGATTATTGCAACAAATAATATATTCTCTGTCCAAAACATGCATGTTTTTTTCTCCTGCTACATTGAGCTGCTCATGACAAATTCAATGTTTTCCTTGCTTGCTTTGCCACCTCAGACTCCCACAATGATTTTGGTCATCCCTTTCTTATCTTAGCTGCCCTTCCCTCCAAATTTTCTTAAGCTCCCCTCTCCCTTCAGCTTCTTCTTTTTGTCAGACCCCTGGAGATGTGCTGGGGAAAGAGGAGTAAGTCAGCAGTGCTGTTGAGGGACAATAATGTTTTCTGCTTTTTTCTTCTTTTTGGTGGAGAACAGAAAATGGGAAGTGTGGAAAGAATAAGGTAAGAGAAGATTTTAGCTCATTTGAGTGGGAACTTCATTTCTTAGCTGTTGCTCAGGATTTAGCCACCCCTGATGGAGACGCATGTGACTCCTCATTCTAACCAGATTTTCAGGATAAGAACAAAGGCCCAGCAGTGCGATGGTAATATCTTGAGTCTCAGCATGCAGTGAAGGTGGTGACAGTGGTGTTCCAACAGGTTCATTTATAGTCATACCTTTCTTCCTCAACCAGTTACTGAGTTTAGGGCAGCCTTTTGTTCTACTACAAAATGTTTTGTGACTTCAATAGGAGTCTTGAAAGTCCATAATCATCATTTAAACATATTCAGTTTGTTCCAACCTTTTCCACATCAGATGAGGCTTATCTTAGAAGTTAACTGCAATAACATGTTTACAGGCCAAGAGGAACTTTATTGCTCTTTATCTCAGCCAGACGACTCGGGATACAGATTTTTGCACCCATATCTTCTGAGACTCTGCCCAAACAAGTTTTATTTAGGGATTTGACCGTTAGAGAGAAAATTATAATATCCAATTCTGAAAGTAAGTATGAAAACAATACAGACGAGGTTTTAAAGTGATGCCAAAGCTCCATGCTTGAGGGTGTGAGCCAACGGGTGCTTGACAAAAATGTAACCAGGGGAAAACAGGTCATCTTGAATTCCATGCCCGCAGTCAGTTTCTTGGTCTGAATTTGATGACTCAGGGAGTTTTTATGGAAATGTTGGGAGTCCAGTCACCAGGGGAATTTGATTCTGGGAATGAAAACTCCTGTTGTTTTATCCTGAAAAGGCTGCTGAAAGGGTGGTTTTTTATGCACTTCCTCTAAAGCATCTTGTTATTAAAGAGATGGAGTGGTCTCATCCACTGTGAAAATCAAGCAATTTCATGTTTTGTTCTTTTGCTGGTATATATGACTAGATTCAGTTTTAGGTAGTATGAAATAAAACAGGTGGAAAACCAGTGGGCTAGATTCTGTTTTGGAAGTCAGTGAGAGATTTTTCGGTGGCTTTCTTGAAACCAGAATTAGTTCCTAAATTAATCAATCCCAATAAAGAAGAAAATGTAAGGGAGGGTTTAATTAAGGTAGGTGTATTCCTTATTGCTGCTAGATTTGTTTGTCTTGGTTTTCTGCTGTTTTCATTCCTACAGCATTATGTATGATTTCATGTCATATGTTATTTTGTATCAGGTTTCATTTCATATTGAGAAGAGAAATAGCTGAATTTCAGGAAATTGTTGATAGATTGGTGCACAGAGACAAGTAGAGAGAAAAGGGAATAAATATGGCTATTACCTATAGAAACTGTGTTGTGTCGACTCCGCTGCATAAACCAGTGATTGAGGAACAGAAGCCTGACATTCACATATTAAAGTAAACCAGGTCAATGCATGTTTAATGTGCAAGGATGAGAGCCTACTACTGTGTGAGCACACATTTCTTCGTCTTTGCAAGATTGCTGAGAAACTACTGGTGACTGCTGAGAAACAATTGATTGGTTTGTCATCAGCTACATAAACCAAATGCCATCTTACCCATGGGTGTCACTGATGGGTTTGTGGAAGTGGCAGATGCTGCAGTACAGCTTGGCTAATGACATTAGCTCTCCGGCATGCATCAATGGCATGTCAGCCAACTAGCAGAAAGAAAAACTTCGTGAATTTTACTGGTATTGACTGGCTTCTCCACTGGGCTCGCAGATCAATCAGCATGTGACTTCGCTGTTTGTCACAGTACATCACAGCCATCCCCAGTCTTCGTATACTTGCATACTGATCATTAGACCACGAGCTACATAACAGTATATTTACCTTCAAAATAAACATCTGCTGTCCCCTCCTACCCTGATTCAGCCATTAACTCTTCAGAGACATAGAAACAGAAGGCTACCCATGAAGCACAGACAAGATGGAGTTTCTTTAGGTGAATTCAGGTATCTGCTGGTTTAATATTTTATTCTTTCCTCCGGAGCCTCAGTAGCTGAAATGCAGACACATTTTTTATTCTTTATGCATCATCTCTGACATTAATATGAACTGACTTTAGCAGGTATGATGCCAAGAGGAATGAAAATCAATGTTATGAGCAACAGATGGCCAAGAATCTGTTGAACTTGAAAGGTAAATAGGCCCACTTAGGTTTTTTTAAATTTTTATTTATTTATTTAGAAGACACATACCCCGCATTCTTCCATATTTGGTCTGACAGGAAGATCTTTCATCACAAATATTGCCCAAGCCAAGAATGATAATAACAGTATAAGACGACTCATTCATGTACCAGTTACATTTT